GGCCAACGACAACACTTTGTCAATGTGCTGTAAACAAAACAGGTGATCTCCGCAGCGCATGAATACATTTTGTCCTGCCTCTGTATGCTGCACCATCCCTCACCTGAATCCTCCGCAGACTCCTGTGATACTGTGAACGTGTCTGAGCAGAGAATCTTCTGCTGCCTTGTTCATGTGTGAAAGTAAACCTTCAGAGAAATGTCTGGACCCAATCCTGCAGACAGTCTCTGGAGTATATGTATGAAAACGACTCAACTTAAATGTGTCTGTTTTATTAACGAAACTGAAAATATTATTGTCAACTGAGATTTTGAGGATCTTGTGCTGGATGCAGCTATCTGTGTGAACCACAAAACCAAGCAGAGACACAGGAGCACAATTATTACAAATAACTTAGTAGCTACTATTTCAAATTGCCATATGGTCACCACCAATCACTCTCAATGTCAAGCTTCTGCTTAGCATATTTCAAAAGACTCTTGAACCTGGAGTCACAACAACATAGATACAATTGGAAACTTAGCAAGGACAGAGAATCGACCATGATCTTCTCTGTTCGTTTGTGCTCTGCTGTATACCGCAACCCCAGGACCACTCCAGAAAGCATTGTGAAACTAAGGGATAATGAAGTACTACTAAAATGTGTTTATCTGCATTCATGGGCTTTAGCATTAATTATGCATGAGGTTCCAAGTGTGTGTGCCATTAAAATAATGTCAGCTATTTACACTGCTTATTTTCCAGTGGTGAAGAAAGGAGAGATTAAGACTGCAGCGACCGTGGGCTCCAGCAGGCCGACTGAATTTAGATCAGTTGTAAAGTAGCGACTGAATCTCTGTTTCACCAAGCTGAAACTATTTCTTTACAGGATAGGATGATCCTGCATTTAATAATCTGGGGCTATCTCCGCTGAATTAAACATTCTAACCATCCATCCATCCACATCTACACAAACAGAGAATTTAGAGTCTCCAATCAATCCCCAGTCTACATGTCCACAGACAGCTACTTTTTCAATTTGAAGAAATTATAATGGATTGTCCTTACTACTCCTGAACTCATCCAATCCTGAATATAACACGCCTTTCAAGCCAAGTCTTAATTTCAGGCTCTAAGGCTCAGCACATAAAATAAAACAATTTCATTTAATTTCCAGGTTTCAGCTTGCATTTGAGTAGATGAACATGAATGTAGAATGAACTGTGAGGGAGGTACATAGCCCCCATAACCAGATGCATTGTATCCTCCTTGGTTTCAAACAGTCTAGTCATCACCGTGGGGAATGCAGCTCAGTCTGGGTTTATTCCACCTCTTCCCCCTGAAAAGCTCTTAGGTTGCTTTGCCAACATTAGGATCGTTGTCATGCTGGATAATGAAATGTCCTCCCTTAACTTTGGATTCATCTGTCTGAATCTGAGTTTTGCTTCTTTCTGTTCATGTCAGTTTCATTGGCAGCCATATATGTTCAAGATATAACCATTGTTGACAGATGAGGTGGTATCTTTGGGTCATGAGTTTTTCCTTTAATTTCTCCATCATTTTAATTGTTGATATTTGTTTCATCGTAATTACCAGTGTTATCTTGTGTTGAAACCTCTGCTGGTCTGGTCATAAAGTCTTCTCTCTATCTCTGACAGGGACACATGTCTGCATACGTCCTGCAATGCATTCTTGACTTACTGTGCAGTCATGTAGCACTTTTTCTTCACAATGCCAAATATTTTCTTTCATACACTAGATTTGTTCTCCTCAGTTTCTTGTAGACAACTGCTATTTTATAGTAAACACAACTGCTGATACATGATTTTATACACCAACTATTACTGATATCTCTGATAGTCTTGGCTTTAGTGTCTCTGCATCTTTTTCTTAACATGCAGTGTCTCTCCCTCAGTCCTCATGTTGACTCCCAGTCACCTCTGTGGTTGTGCATGTACTTACATTGAAACCACACAAAACTCCCCAAGAGAAGAAGTTGTAGCCAAGTGTTCAGTTACTTTTCAACCCCTAACATTTTACCATGATCTCTGTTAAAGGATATATCTCCCACACTTCTTTCTATATTGATGCAAACTTAATCAAATTAAAAGTTGAGACTTGGCAGTTTAATGTATTATCCATTATTTTATTTTGAATTGAATGGTGCTGTAGCTCAGTGCATGGAGAACAAAAATATCACTGTCCTATTATTTTGGCCTTGACTGTAAACAGCTTTCCCCCCTCTTGACTGTTGAAAGATATCAGAGGAACGCAGACCCATTTGCCACAGTGAATACTTGATACATGATTATCCCTCTTCCTCACATACAGCAGACCTGTCTATGTTTCTGTGATTGGTATGGGTAACACAGGACTGCTTCCCCTGAGCTCCTGGAAGTCTCAGGCAGTGCTGCTTCCCCAGAGGCAGCGCAGAACTCAGCAGGCAGGCGACAATCACAACCTCTCACCATCTCTGCTACTGTTGCTTAGCAGGATATAAAGCAGTGGATCGAAGAGGAAACACAACGGCAGAGTTTCCTCCTTCTGGTGGTGGTGGTGAGACATTTGACAGTGAGAAACCCGGTCCCTACAAACCACAAGTCAAACAGAAGCTCACTGAAAACGACGTTTTTTTTACTGAGCTTGGTAAACGTCTTCTCCAGCTGCCATCAGCAGTGGTCAGGGCGTCACCCACTTGCATCTCAATGACTTACGTGGTGATGTGAGTGTGCTTGTTTGGTCACACAGCAGATTGTGCTGTGGTGGAGCCAGTAGGTTGAAGGTGTAGGTGTAGGTGATGTGTGTGTGTCCGGTGTGTGTGTGTGTGTGTGTGTGTGTATGTATGTGTGTGTGTGTGTGTGTGTGTGTGTGTGTGTGTGTGTGTGTGTGTGTGTGTGTATGATTTGTCATTAAGATGCCCTCAGGGCAGAGCAGGACAGGATCTTCTAACAATCTGATTAGCTAGCTTTCATTTGATAGCAGCAGGCAGCCGGCCCAGAGACTGAGCTAAAAACAGCCGTACTAACAAAGGGACAAGAAAATACCAGCATGGGGTTTTTCAAGCAGTAAAACCTATTCAAGCCTTGAATAGTCCCTGAAAATCAGTTTTGAAACAATTATATGTGCCATATCCATGTAGTTGCATGATGGCCAGTTTTGCAACTACTCTGCAGAAACCAATATCTTCCCTCCCTATAGTTTTCTGACTGTGTCTGTCTGTCAGTTAGCAGGATTACACATTACTACTATAAACAGATTATCACAGAACTTAGTGGGAGAATGAAATATGGACTATGGAAAGAATCACTTGAATTCTGGTGTGGATCCGGGGACAGATCTAGTTTTTTTTAACTTTCTTTAACATTGTATTAATTGTTGTTTTCTATACCCTAGAATGGGCCCTTTGAATTTAAATACTTTATATTTACATCGAGGGGGTCCTCCCTATGGAGGCTGCCATGTTTTTTACAGTAGTCCAGACTGGACAAACTAAACACCTTTTGAGTTTTTATGACATCTGACAGCTTCTACAGGTTCTCTGTCATGTTTGGAAGGGGAGGGTGAGGTGAGGGGTATTCAGCTGCCACATGCAATTTCACCACTAGATGCCACTAAATTCTACACACTGTACCTTTAACTGATTCATTGTGGAGAGAAGAGAGCTGTGTGAGCCTCTGGTTTACAGAGATGTCAGCGTCTACCTCCTGAACCCAACAACCAGAGGGAAAATTTGCACTGTATAGACACTGCAAAAACAGAGATGTATCAGAAGGACTGGTGTCTTGTTTCAGAGGTGTGTTGTTATGTGTTGAGTTTGCATCTACAGGTTGTGTTGCCCTCAAATACTGTGTTTTGGATTGCTGAACTGTAATGTGTCTGAAACCCTTTTTTTTTTTTTAATCGCATTTGTTGAAATCCTCTTCTTGTCCCAATAGTCAATAATAAATAAAACCGTCTGAAAAAAGGAAGAAAGCTGTAGTCTGTGGCCCTTGCAGGACTTTAATAAACACGACCAATAATTTCATTTGGATAGAAAAAAAATGCTTCGCTGGCGAGCTCGTCTGTCACTAACTGCCACTAAACTGAACCGAGACAATAGCCATGAAGCTAGCGAGTGAGTCAAGTAAAAGTTCTAGCAGTTGTAAGGCAGTGAGCATTCATTTGTTTTGGGTGCATGGCTTTGACAGATTGCGGGGGTAGGGTGTATCGGTTGCATTTTTTAAAGTGAAAAACTGTAAAAAGTGAAAACAAATTCTCCAGATAAAACAAATTAAAAAGGACCTATGAGTTAGTATTTGGTAAAGCATTTTACTGTGACAAATAAAGCTGTCAGTCCGCAGACTGCCTGTTAGACGCTGTTCGAATATTTTAATATTATCAATATTGAACGTATTGAATCTCCAAATTGCACCAAATTTGACAAAGCACTTTCTTGGGTACTTAACCATACATGTGTTGAGTGTGAAGCCAATAAATAGAACGGTTCTGGTTATATGCAAGCCACAGATAAACAGACAGACACGTAATTCGTAAACACAACTTTAACATGGTTAAAATAATTTTTTGATCCTCTATTCCTTGTTATCTATAACAAAACATGTGTTGTATGTGGATACCAGTATGTCTATGACACGGTAAAATTACATGATAATCTTGCATGCAGATTTCTGTTGAGCTTTTATTGTTGTGTGGTCATGTCCTCTTGCTGAAATCTGAATAATTATTCTTGACACAAACAATTCAAGAAACAAGCTTAAATGGATCTGTTAGTCTAGACGTCTGTTTCTGTATCTAGTCAGTAATTGTTTTGTTGATGTGACCTGCTCTGCCTCCGTGCACACCTTAATGCTGCCTCTGGCCTCCCTCCTTTTTTAAACTGCACATCGCCTCACGCTTTCTCCTCCTCCTCTCATTCACACAATCTCTCCCAATCCTCCTCCCTTTTTCCTGCCCGACTGCCTCCTGCCATTTCTCCTCCACTCTCTCCTCCCTCTCTTGCTCCCCTTCTCTTCCCCTCCTACCGTTTGGACTGCAGCAGTCTCTCCTCAGCCTCCTGTCTTTCTCTCAGCAGCCTCTGCAGGTGAAGAATCTCCCTCCGGTGAGACGCTGTCCTCCCCTCTGCTGCCTCCTCCAACGCTGCCAGTCTGGTTGACGCCTGCCTCCGGTACACCTGCACAACACACACACACGCATGCAAGCACAGGAATGAGATGTGGAGTGTTGCTATGAATAAGGTGGATATACATGAAGGACAGCGCAACAGAGAAAACTGGAGTGGAGGAGGGGGATTCACACACATTTGGACAAGGTGAGGAACAAAACACACACATACAAACCTGCAGATCTTCTGTAGAGAGGCTGGTGTGAGTGTGTCTGTACTTGTGCTGCATTTGCTGTTTATTTGTTTGAAGTGTGTGTGTCTGTGTCAGAGCCTCCAGAAAATAACAGTTCTATTTCAGACTTATATTTAAGTTGCTGTATCCACAGATGAGCAGCCGTTGAGCTGCTGACACTTCATAACTGCTCCTCTTGGCAGTGCTGCACACACATACACACACTCATACAAGTGGAATACATGTTTGTTATGTGGACTGGTTTACCTCAGCAACTGCAAATATCAAACTCACTGCCAATAAATCAAAGAGAGGGCCAGTAAAGTGAAGAAATAATCAATAAGAGAAAAGAGGGAGGCATAGGAAAATGAAGAAACAGCGATGATAAATATTATGCTCTGCAGGTTGCGAGGAGAGAAACAAGGTCTGAATAAGGACAGACACTGTGCTTGGTTTCTGTCAGCCAGTTTATTTTGTGTTGCCAATAGAGTTAATTACTCTGGCTTCTGAGAAAAGGATAAAACAAACAAGTTGTTTAACACTTTTACCCTACATACTCTTGGCTTTTCACTTTTGAATGATACTGGTCATGATTTTGATAGTGATTTATTCGTAAGGCTGTTCTTCTAAAGAAACATTACCCTTTATACTGAAGATACCAGAGGACTGCTGAGATGTAATCATCAGAACATGATGGGTTCACAGAAACTATACTTTACCCCGATTATTGATAATTATCGCAGTAAATGTCATATTATTTGGTCTTTTAAGTTTGAAATCAGATTTCTGCTCCTGGGTGAAGGTTTTGTCTGTTATGCCTCCTCACTGTGCTTACACAATGCATAAGGATCATACTGAATGAAATTATATTCTGATAATTATTGTTATTATGTTAATGCACAACCCTACTGTTGTAATCAATGAATCAAAAGTTACATTTGCAGTCATCAATGAATTAACCAATGAAAACGATGAATTAATCTTTTTGTATGCACACACAACACATACTAAACTATAAATACATATATAAATAAAGGTCAGGGCTTAAATGAAGGTAAATGAACTGTAATGTACTGTATTGATATACAAGGCGCATTCAATCATTTACATTGGTTCCCATACCACTGCTGTCAGGGGAAACTGGGGTTCAGTAGCTTGCCCGAGGAAAATTTAGAATGCAGACTGGGGATGTGTTGGGGATCAAAACACAGACATTCAGGTTAGTGAATGCCCCTCTCTATTTCCTGGGACAAGTTAGAGCTTAAATTTGTAAAGATAACAAGCAGTACATTGAAACTGTTTTTTTAAATTTGTATTTATCATCAAGGACATCAAGTGGACCAATTTTACTAAAAACCAGAAATGAAAGGGGTGTGTCTGCTTAGAGTGTTTGACATTTTAAAGATGTGTTATTTGGGCTGTGTTAACAGAGTGAACTGAAGGAAAACAATTACAGGCAACTTACCCTCACTTTTCTCTAATGACCAAAGACTGATAAAGCTACTAATATGTATTAGGTTGATCAAATTAACTTATATACTGACCACTGTAAATGGAACAATCATTACATTTATAATATTTTCTATATTTTGGATTATGGAGGGCAGCCCACAAGCTCTTCGTAATTGTGTATACATTTTTCATTTATTCAGGAGAGTACTTGCAGTGCACACTCACAAAGAGAGTCACAGTTAAGTACACGTGATGACATGTTTGAGAAACATTAGCACACACTAGGCACATTCAAAATGCACTCAAAGAGAGCTCAGGAACAACACAGTGCCAACCTTGTCTCAACAGGGGGGCCGGTCTCTACTGAATATCTAAATCTGAATATTCAAATGAATGTATTTGAATCTATTCCTATTACATACCCCGGGACAGTCAAAAGCCTTAGCATTCAACACAGCCCCATCTCCCCATCAAGCATGCCAATTCCCTGTTGTGTTCAGTAATGAATAGAAATTGTATGCTGGAGAACTATAATCTGGGGAGCAAAATGTCTCCAAAGCCTGGCTTGAATCTCCATCAACCCCCCAGGGAGGCAGCAGGGCGCCAGGATCAGCCCAGCTGAAGCAGTGACATTTAGCCCTCACAACAAGCTGAGCTGAGCAATGCCAAACCAATACATCTCCCCTTGTAGCTGCAGCCCAGAGGCTGGCTGACCTTCTCCACCCAGTAATAACAAAAATACTAAAAATTCAGAGCAGACAAGTATTTCTTATACCACATCCCAGTGGGGATTGTAGCTGTATTTATGGTGTATTGCATCAATTTCTAGCACTTTCAAACACGAACAAACTCTTTGAATTCAGATAATTCACTAATTGTAGTAAGAATACAAACACCATATTTTTTTCTGATTGCTACAAGGTTTTCAGCAGGGAATGAGACTTGCAAATATTCTAAGGCATATTTCTGTAAATTCAAAGACTCTTATAAACTATTGTGTATTATTTCAACTAAGGACCACCTGTTATACAGAAGGGTTTTTGAAGAGTCACAATTGTGCTGTATTTTGCATGTGAGCTTTCACCTGCAAAATCATCTGAACAATGTTTTATTTAGCCAACTCACATTAAATTGATTATGTAAATATACATAGCATCCAGACTCACTGAAACTGATGAGTATCCCCAGGGGGGATTCTACAGCTGGATGCTGTGCAAGTACATACTAGCAGAACACTTGACTTGTCCACCTTAAATTGAAGGATTCACAGCATTATATTCTAAAATGATCATTCACATGATACAAAAAGTTGGTTGACAAATGGTTTACCAGTGTTAGGCTGGACAGAACTAATAGTTAGTGGGCATTATAGCAGAACAGATGTTTTGAAGCATGTTGAAACTGAACGTTTGGTTCTGCGTATGCCCTCTTCACTGTCATTTGTGTGGTATGATCATTTCGAGGTTAAGAGGTGAGTCTTTTTCACTTACTTGGGCTGGATAATTTGATTCTTTCTGCAGCACAGAGCTGTTTCCAGGCTAATGGTGCCTACAAATTGCACTTGGTTATTGCTAGTTCTGCTGCCAAGACGGGTAGTTTTACATACATGTTCCACATGGGGAGGCAATAGCTCAGTCCATAGAGACATGGCTTGGGAACCGGAGGGTGGCCATGGAATCTTAATCTTAATCTTAATCTACATTTGTATTTGGGGTATGATGTGGACACTGTTGTTGCGGTTACTGTGGTATTGAGCTGAACTCCTAACCACTCAATCAAAAGCAGATAGTAGATGTGGAAGAGCATTTCATGACACCAGCAGCCACACTTCCATTGTTAGTGTCACATACAGAACATAACTTCATTTTTATATTTATAAAATACCAAAAGTTTTGTTCAATCACTTTTCACACAACTTGTTTATTTGCTTATTTGAACACTGAGGCACCTCTGTCATTGTCTCAAGTACAACCTGGACCTACTTTGTTAGTGCTCGGTTTTCCTCACTGCCTTGCAAAGGGAGAATCCAAAGTGAACCACATCCTCTGACATGCAGTAATTGCTACTTCTAATACATATTGACAAATGGGGTCCTGACAGAATATTGTTTGTGTCAGATTTGTCATTTTAGATTCACAGATTTGTCTTTGTCACTGCTAAAGATTGGAGAGCATTACCTGAATATGAGTCCAAATGGTAGCAGCTACAAAAGTTGCAAAGGTAGAATATTGAGTAGGGGCGTCACAAGTGATTCTACACCAGTGTACTTAGATAATCCAGCCAATAAAACAAATATACTGGTGTTCTGTCACAGAGGTCCGCTCTACTTTTATGTAACCTTATTAAATTTGAAATTTCATGAGACTGTGTTTAAAAAGCTTTGCAGTTGAATATGCACTGGGGTGATTTAGAGGCTGCGTTTTTATACTTTCAGAACATAGAATGTTATTTCCTTGAATCTGCCTCCTGAAAGATGTCAAATCAACCAATTGAGAAGCTGGTCACATTGATGCAGGGTTGAAATTTAGGAGGCTTGCATGTCAATACACTTTGAATGCCAAAAACAACCCACTCACTGTTAATTCAAAGGAGAGTTTTAAATGTATCTTTGCAGAAGCAAACCTTAGAGTTAAATTCCTACATTTAAATAAATGTTAAAAATCTCACATCCCAGCATGGCCTATTGAGACAGAGTTGTTATACTGGATTTAATTTGCATTCAAAGTAACACACCCGTTGAACTTTATAGGGGATGTGTATATGTTGTAAGAACAGGCCTTAAGATGGAAACCTGAAGTTTAATTAAAATATTATCAACAAAGGGCAAGGTTCTGGGGCTGTTGTTGGAATCAGTAAAGAATAAAATTTATATTCATCTGTAAAAAAAGAACTAAGCAACCACACACCAAAATACTTTTTACACCTAATTGTTTTAAACAAGGATGAAAGGTCTGCCAACAGCAGCATGAACGTAATCCTCTGGATCAATGGTATGATTCAGAAAAAGCTCACCAAGCAGATATTCCGACAGCAAAGGTCAAAGCTTTCATCAACAATCCACCCAGAGAGGAGTTGGCTAGAGACAGGCTAATAGGGAACATACAGTATTTTGAGAATAAGTGTACCACCTTGTCTGACAGATTTAATAGGTTATGTTTTAGCTGAAATTTAACATTGTAAGATACAGAAGTTCTTCGCTCGAATGGTAAAGCACATAAGGAAAAAAATTCTCCAAATGAATATAATATTGTCAAGAGAATCAGACAGTCAAAGTGTGAATTTTAATCAAATGCTCAAATAATTAGTTCATAATATATCTACTATTTTGCACATATTGTAAGCTACAGTATAAATGCAGGTAAAACCAGTCTTTGATGTAATTCTT